CAGCAGGAACTAATAACTGGAAACAAAGACATTCAAGGAACACTGCCCTTACAAGTGAGATCTTCATGCTAGAAGGAGCAATGCCAGTATTTCCATTCCTAGCCTGGGCAGTATTTAAATCTAAATGGGGAGAGATTCACCCTTCTTTTTGCTGATATTATTATTGTTATTGTTGTGGAACAGCAGTTGTTTGTTCAGTGTTTTAAATAACAATACGAGACCAAGGCATTAGTGAATGTTTGTTTTCAACATACAAGTTTGAATGTTTTATGACACATTTCGTTAACACAAGAATACAAAATATGAAACATCATCAAAGAAAATAGATTCAGGATACTTCCAGTGATAAGCTGTTATGATCACTTAAAATCCAATGTTTTATAAGAAAGCAAATATGTAGTCCAGATTGCTGTCAAATTTTGGATAATTTGTGCAGAGAAGAAAACACCCAATCCAAATTTTTTGCATGCAGATAACTAAATTTAGACAATGGCTATCTGTGTTTAGGTAGATAAGTAAGAGTCTTCCACTCTAGATACAGGTGTGTTTACATTTGTATAATATGTGTATATAATTCAAGAAATACGTAATATGTAAGGCTTCCCTTCTGGAAGCCAAAGAAAGTTGCAAATTCTGTACCATCTCAGAAGATTTATTTTACCCCTTTTTTGAAGTGAATCTGGACTAGATTTCTAAAAGCCTTTCACTTCTTGAAGATATACATGAACATTTTAGAGCACTTCTATAAGAACTGAGATTTATTGAGAAAATACTGAGAAAATATTTATAATTGAAGTCACTGTGAAGGAAGAGTCTAGATTCTTTTGAAAAATATCTCAAGTGTGTTTATTTAAGGCTTAAATATCTATTGAAATTCCAATTAGAAATGGGCCTGTTCTTTTGAAAATCTTGGCAGAGGTTTACAATTTTACAATTGTATTTCTGTTTTCTGTAAATGTATTTTCAAAAATCTTTAGTACGTTTATTTAATTTTTATGGTTCAGATATAAATGAGACAGTGTTTTTAAAATTTTAAAACACTGCAAATTTTTTTTTTTCAATCACTTAGTCACTTATATTGCAGTAACTTCCTTTGCTAATAGTAATAACTTAGTTAGTGAAAAGACAGTGTCTTAAATTTCGAATAGATGCATGATTTTTAAGTGAATGTTCTGGAGTTATATAATTCTAATCACATCCTTCATACATTTCCAACTTCTTGTACAATGACGTATTTAAGGCTTGTTGCTCACATAATTTTGTAATGTAAGGGGAGGCTGTTACTACGCAACTAATTCTGAGCCTCCTTTGTTCGTTTTAAATATTTCTCTTTCCTACAGCTTAATTGAGTTACTTCTAATACCAAATCACTGAATCAAATCACCCCAAATTGAGATGTTTTTCGCTAAGGAGGCTTGTTATGCTGAGTTCTCAGCCAGGCCCATGATTCCCTCTTCCATATACTCTGTAGTTCTCTACTATGGTCTCATTAATGGTTTTTTTTTCCTCATTTTCCCTCCAGCAAATACTTTTTTACCTGCTTTGCAGGCATCTAGTTCTGAGGGAGGTACTATTCTTAAGGAGCTATGTTTGGAGTAAGGGAATTTTGTGGAAATGTGTTTAAAAACTGCTTTTTTTTTTTTTTTTTTTTTTAGAAGAGATGCATATTATTTTATTTCGTTGTGTCTAAGTGTTATTTTCATTAGAGCTACGTATCTTCTACTATTTCTCTTGTCTGCTGTGTGCCAGCTATGTTGTCAATGATCAGCAGAGGCTAATAAGAAGATTAAGCTATTTTTTTCATAGATAAGTTTGCATGCCACCGAGTAGCAAATCTGCTAATTACCACTGAATGTGTGAAGATACTTTTATTTCATGTAACATGGCCTGGCGTGCATTAATTATGGTACAAGTAGCCTTACCACTGAGTCAGAGAATTAGCATGACAAATGATTTAGATTACAGGGCTACCAAAATACCCTCACAATAAGGCTTAAATACTCAAGAGTAAATAAAAACTCGTTGGACTTTTATTTTCTGTTGCTAAGTAACTGCCTGAAAAGGTAACTTTGCAGTGTAAATTAACATGAACAAGGCTAATATTAGGTGCCATTCAGTTAAAAATTCAGAAATATTCTGTCTACCTTAACTGTATCAGATAACTTTATGAAGACCGCATTACTGGTAAAGCTTATATGCATAAGCAAGTGGGACAATTTTATTGTAATTTTAATAGAGTTCATACTGTCAGAGTTTAATCATCTAAGGGAAGATGAATCAGTCGTAAAAATGTGGTTTACAGTTGCAGACACTGAACTATAGATTTTTGTAACATCCTTTGAACTAATGCTGTATTCTACCTATTAAACTAGTTAAATCACTTGGTAAAGCGGATTTTTACTTCAGCATTTTTGACATTTGTTATATTTATTATTTTCCTTAATGCAAATGCACATAACTTCTCAAAAAATAAAATATTTGAGCATATGGGAAATGCATGTTACCTGAAAAACTCACAGTTTATTGAATCAATGCAGAAATAATACATTTTCACCAAGTTTCACAATATTAAGTTCTGTTTTCTTCTGGCTATCTCGAATAATATTGTGAAATATACCAATTAAATATGAATACTTTGCATGATCCAGACACACAACTGTGCCTTTCTGTTGTGTGGCTGGATATATATGTTGAAATATTCTATTTAGAGACATTTCAGTTGAGTTAAATCCTAAAGTATCCTAAAGAACTCAAGAATCAAGAGTTCTTGATTGTTAATGCAAAATATTGCAATAAATATATCATTATTTGTTGGCATTTACTGTTGATGCTATATGCACGTATTTTCCACCCAACATTTTAATAATATGTATGTAAGCCGATGCCCTTTCAGTCAGCAGACCTGAGGATATTTTTTCTGTGTTTTCAGAGCAGAACTCATTGTTTTCAGGAAAACTGGATGAATGCTAAGAATAAAAGTAGGGA